GGACAAACATAGGAGAAAGGACGCAGACAAGGGAGAACGAGCGGGGACGGATGAAGGATGGGAGGACGACAAGTGAGAGTAGGAATGGACGCCTCAACAACTGATGCAACATCAATGCCTGCTGGGGGTGGGGCTGCGCATCCATATGTAGATCTGAATATGTATATGTATATGTATGTGTGTACATGTATGTACGTAAGTATATATACACACATACATAATATATGTATAAATACGTACATACATACATACACACATACATACACACATACATACATGTACCTATACAATTACAATTACACATGTACACATACATATACACATACACACAGATACGTAAACATATACGTATACATGTACATATGTATAGATGTATATATAAAAATATGTATCCGCGGCCATGCCCCCTGGCGCGGTGAGGCGCGGAAGAAAGCCAAAATGTAGCTGGTAGGGCGTTTCATCGAAGCAACATTTAATGACGCTCCCCCCCCTCAATTACTCGCAGACCGCCGCATGCACCGCCCCTGCTGTCCGAGGCCACTTCCCTCGTGCCCGCTCGGGGATGGTGCACTTCCAGCATGACAACGAATGCCGGCTCCCCATTCCACACTCGCCCGCTCGAGGATGGTGCACCCCCCGCATGACAACTAATGCCTAAACTCTCAATCCGTGCGTGACCGCTCGAGGATGGCGCACGTCCCGGGTGACACCTAATGCCTGAACCCTCATCCACGCGCGCCCGCTCGAGGATGGCGCACTTCCCGCATCGCAGCGAATGCATGAACCCTCATTCCATGCATGCCCGCTCGAAGGTCGTGCTCTTCCCGCATCGCAGCTGACTGACCCCTCATTCCATGCATGCACGCTCGAAAATGGTGCTCTTCCCGCATCGCAGATAATGCCTGAAGCCCCCTCCCACGCGCGCTCGCTCGAGGATGGCGGACTTCCCGCATGACAGCTAACGCATGAACCCTCATTACATGCATGCCCGTTCGAATCTGGTGCTCTTCCCGCATCGCAGCTAATGCCTGAACCCCCCGTCCGTGCGTTCCTGGTCGAGGATGGTGCACTTCCCGCGTGGCAGCTCATGCCTGAACTTCCCCTTCATGCGGGCCCGCTCGAGGATGGTGCAATTCCCGCATGGCAGCTGGTGCCTGAACCCTCATTCCATGCGTGCCCGCTCGAAGAGTGAGCTTCCAGAGTGGCTGCTACGTCCTAGACCCATCATCCCACGCGCGTCGAGGACCATCCGCGTCCCGCATTTCCAGGCGCCGCCCCAAGCGCCCCAGGGCCGTCCACGCCACGCTTGCTTGTTGAAAACGATGGATATGCAACCCCCGCTTCGAGGCCAGCGCAGCCAACCGAGGACACCAAGATGGCACACCATGTCTCGAAGACTGCCCAAGATGGCCCCACGGTGGCCGATTAATGCTCCAAGACGGCCCCCAAGATGCATCCAATGGGCCCAGAAATTTCACAAGGGGACCTCCAGTAGGGTCCGAAGATGCCCAACTCGGTGATTCCCGATGTGTGTGAATGATGTTCGCAGTCTCGCTGTTTCGGGCTGCCGTCGGTTCAAGATGGCCCACGAAGACCCCACGGCCCACGACAGCCCCCAGGCCCCCACTACACGGCCACGAGGACCCCTTATGACGGCCCAAGAGGAACCCACGCTGACGTCAAAGGCGACAAGACGGGCGAAAAGGACCCCAAGGGACCCCCAATACTGCCTCACTGGAAGGCAAGGTACAGGTACCCTCAAGAAGGCCCCACACAATGTATCATCGGCATCATCGTCATCATCATCATCGTCATCATCATCATCATCATCATCATCATCATCATCATCAGCATCATAATCATCATCATCATCATCATCATCATCATCATCATCATCATCATCATCATCATCATCATCATCATCATCATCATCATCATCGGCATCATCATCATCATCATCATCATCATCATCATCATCATCATCATAATCAGCATCACCATCATCATCATCAGCATCAGCAGCAACACCAGCATCACCAGCATCACCATCAGAATCAGCAGCAGCATCATAATCAGCAGGATCATCAGCAGCATCAGCATCGGCATCACCACCACCATCATCATCATCAGCAGCAGCAGCAGCATCGTAAGCATCATCAGCATCATCAGTATCAGCAGCATCCACAGCAGCATCATCACCAGCAACATCAGCATCATCACCACCACCACAATCATCAGCATCATCAACATCAGCGTCAACATCAGCGTCAGCATCAACAGCCGCATCAGCATCACCATCAGCAGCAGCATCAGTACAAAACTCATCAGCATCATCATCATCATCATCATCAGCAGCAGCATCAGCATCATCAGCAACATCATCAGCATCGTCATCAGCTGCAGCAGCATCATCATCAGCATCAGCATCACCATCACCAGCACCATCACCAGAACATTACCATCAGCAACATCGGCGTCGCCATCAGCATCCTCCTCGTCAGCATCATCATCAGAAGCAGCAACACCATCATCATCAACAGCATCATCACCCGCATCAGCATCCGCATCAGCATCAGCGTTTCATCATCGTCGTCCTCATCACTATCAGCGGCATCACCACCATCATCAGCAGCATCACCATCATGCTTAGAACCATCAGCCTCCATATCAACATCAACGTTAGCAGCATGGGCATCAGTGTCATCATCAGCACCATCAGCATCATCATCATCAGTGTCACTATCCTCACCCTCACCAATCATCACCATTGTAGTTGTCACCGCCGCCACCATCAGCACCATCGACCAGAACTGTCATCACCACCATCATCACCATCATCGATCAACGTCATCGGCATCGTCCCCATTCGTATCACAATCCTCCTCATACTTACCACGGCTCGCCGCAACTGGAGGCACGAAGAGTCACGCGTGACGGCCTCCCGCACCCACTCAAACCGAATGCTGGGCTGGCACGGTTACGGAACGTGCCGCAAGCAGCTGGGTCTATACGTGTATGCAGCACCAAACCTGATACGCAGTCACAGCGTACTGGCGGTATGCCTTCGCACGCTGATAAGTATGATCGCGACGCCAATCGACGTTATCGACATTACCTGGCGATAGACATGCAGGTAATCTCTCCATCCCTTCACGTTCGACGGCAACATCAGCACACGGAGTCGATAAAGCTGGTGGTGGTGAGGGTGGAGATGATAAGCATGGTGGTGATACGCAGGAGGTGATAAGCATGGCAATGGTATTTGGGGTCATGGTCATGACCATTGTGATGGCAAAGGTGACGGCTAACTCTGACATCTTCACGTTCCCCCCCCCCCCGACACCCCACCCCGAGCCACGAACAAGAAACGTGCACACACATGTCCTCACCCCTTTCCGATGAAACTGCCGACCAAACGTCCTCTGCCTGGCAAGCACTGCCATCTACACTTCCTCGCCCGCCATGGATACCGCTGCCACGCACATGCTCCCACCCCTAACTAAACATGCAGCCAACCTGTTCCTTCCCCCCTCCCCCCCCCCACCCAGCCAAACCCATCACCAACACTGGGCTAGTTCTGCCTCACATCCCCCCTTGCTAAATCGTCCAAGTACCTACCCTCACCACATCAGCTAACACCATCACCCAGATCCCCCATCGTGTCGGGACGCGTTAGACGGCGATGACTGTATGCTGTGAGTGGTCGTTTCTGTAGCCTTCCTAGGGGGACCACAACCCTCGGGGCGCCCATTGACATACTCAATATCGTTCCTCATACGTTTTGATCTCTGACATTCTCCAAGGCTTCAAACAAGTCCAAAGACGGCCCCAACTCACCCCAAGACGACTGCAATTTGCTCTAACACTGGCCATGGACTGTCCAAAGGTCCCCCTCCTCACTGGCCTGAAGATGCCCCAAAGGGTCCTGGAAAGCTCCAGGAAGCCTCCAAGAGGCCCCCAAGGGACTCTGGGAAACAAGCACATGTAAAACGTCGCTTCCCTCCCAATGCTGGTTGGCCTTTAATCTCCTCAGGAGGGCTTCCCCAGAAACTTCCAAGAAGCCACCACGATGGACGAAAACGGAGCCTCAAGACGGCCCGAGAACTCCGAAAGACAGCCGAGGGTCCCAAGACCCCCAACTAGCAGAGGAGAAAACCCATAGGGCCCCCAAGAGGACCCAAACAAAATTCAACCAAACAAAAACAATAAGCTTCCAACAACCCCCCCAAGAGGCGGCGCAAGACCCATGTAACGATATGGCCGCGCCAAACTACAGCAAAACAACGCTTTCCCGACAATGCCAGAGTTGATCTTCCGATTGGCGTGCTTGGCAGGATAGTCATGCATGCATGCACGCATTTCGATGGTACGCTGGCGCGGTGGCGGGGATTTGCCGCAGGCACCTGGGTATTCTCACTTACCGCGGGCAAAGCTGTCATGCGAACATGATTACTCCTCCGAAAGGCAACGCAAGCAACAACTACCGCCCAACAAATCCTCACCTACCGTGGACAAAACAACACACCCATGTATACTCTCTCCTCCAGCCGAAATAACCACCCCAATCTGCTTACACACGGCTGAAACCACCATACAAATATCCTTTCGCTAATCCCAAGCTGACTACAGCAACCGCCCAAAGATCAGCACATCCCTGCTAAAACTAAAATCAAAATGTCCTCCCTGTCTCTCTGTTGTTCTTTGTTTCTTGAACTATTTCTTTACTTTTCTCCCGTTCCCCCTCTCTCTCTCTCTCCCACTGACACTCGCACATGGCCTGGCATGATGTGAATCGTGGGCAGCGCCTTGCCAGGGAACAGCAGCAAGTTGCCTATGGATACAATACAGTTGCGCGTGCGAGCGTTACAAAGGACGCGAAGGCACCGCAAGCGGAACCCAGCGGCTGGCTGGGAAGGCACAGCAGGTCGGCTTCTAAAATTATCAGTAGTCGCCCGGCAGCGCTGGAAAATCTGGCGGTCGAGGCCGAGTCAAGCGGGTCC